AAATAAAAAAATAGTGTTACCTCCATGGTTTGAACAGTACCTCCATTTTATCAGCTTTGACCCAAGAGGATATAGGCTTGATTTAGTTCGAACACTTTCCAACGGAGCGCGATGGATACATCAGATATCTATTGTAACGGGATTACGAAATGTTTACAATCCAACAGATATCCAAAAGGGTTTATCTCTAAGCATCCCCGGCTCCACTGTACATGTTAAATGACACAAGATGCAGATAAAATGAGAGTGGTGCTGCAGCTGCCGATCAAAATGTGACGACTTCAGTTGACTGATTAACCAAGAGCTTAAAATCGGCTGTTTAGCACACCTACGCAGCTGAACCCATCACTGTTTTCACAATACCCTCAGTGGAAGAACCGCTTTTTCCCCACGCCTTATCTAATTGTATCTATCAGTTCAAGTATGCGTGCTCGGCTGTCTCCCTCGGCAGAACGAAAGGAAATGGAGCAGCACCAACAAAAAACAACCGAGTAACTGAGCACATCCCGGTCTGGTTTCAGGAAACAATGAGTGGAAACTTTGGAAATATGACGTCACCGATACCCCGCAGAAAACTGAGTTCATACATCATACGTGCTTCGTGACGCGTTTAGCATCCCCTATAACACAAATAAGATCCGAGTTTTGAAATACGCCGACGTACTAGCCATTCAAAATTACTATCCCCAACCGTGTAAACAGCGTAAACGGTTTATCCTTCCATTGCTATCTTGGTAATGTCGTGTCCCAGGTTAAGTAGGCAGATAAGCACGCAGTGGATTAGGCAATGCGTTTATCATAGACGGCACACGTATAGCCGATCCACAGACCGCTGAGCAAGCAGGAAGGCGGACAAACAGACTGACGATTGGTTCAAGCTTCACGCAACGTATATCATCAGGTAGGCATTGAAACAGTCAGCGAGGACAGTTCAATACGAATACCCGACTGGCTTGAGCCGATGGATATTATGGTACAGTCAATGGGCATGGCGCTAGTACGTGCGTGTGTACTAACTGACAGCATCCGTCAATCAATTTGGCTACAGGCATGCATGCCAAACATCAGTCAATTGTAGGCCACATCACTTACCCTTCCACGAATAAGTAAGGATTAAGTATTTCACGGAAGAAAGGGAACAACAGACGGAATACAGTTGTAAATGTTCGTCTGATCCTGGCCGGCTTTGTAGTTCTACTCACTGCATTGGTAGCGATTCACCAGAAATCGAACTTATTGATCTTCTAGTCCCTAAATTTACTCCGTTTTTCACCTGTCTTGCATGGTTTGTACCGTTTCCTTGGGGGGGGGGTCTGTTCAGGCGTTCGATCACGCCATCCGCTGCTGGGTTGTAACAAAACGGCCTTGAATGTCTGATATCGTTCACACGGAGGAAATCCTGAAACTCTTTACTTTTAAACTGTAGACCATTGTCAGTCACTATGTTCTCTGGTAGACCAAATAATGCGAACAGGATTTTGAGCCACTTGATGTTTGATGAATGATTTTCAATGTAATCTTTCTCCGCTTGTGGTTCTGTTATTTCTGATCGTATACCGAGGATCAAGTAAACTGCAAATGTGAAAAGATGCAGCGAAATGATGACCCAGTATGCTTTGTGCAAACCTGTTTTCTTCGCTTCTCTGTTCAAGTTCATTATGGTATGCTGTCCTTTCAATACCACTTTATTTTCTTTCCACCATAATTTGTTTACTTGAACGGTTTAACTGGTTTGGTTTTTGTCTATCAAACCTCATTTTGTCAAACTGTCCCCCCTGTGGCACTTACTCCTTATAAGGACAAATTAGTTATGGAGCCCTTTTGAGGCTGTTCAGTGATGTGAGAAAATACAGGGTAGAACTATTGTGAAACATTTAACTTGTGTTTATGTGCTGTGCAACAGTAACCCCAATCACGAGAACCCATTGTAGGCTCACTCGCCGCTCCATTCACTCTGTGCGCGGGGTTTTCCACACTGATGGAATGTTCTCATTCCTTTTGCTTGGCCAGATGGATACACTGTGCGGATTCAAATGAGTGGTACGGGGTGATCAACGGCACACTATGGCGACTACGCCAACTGGACGATTCGCATCCGGTTGAGTTCCAACAACCTGTCGGATGCAACCAGTCGCGAGGTTCTCAGTATCCACCTGACCTTACAGATTATTTTCGTCTGGATGTATCCCTGACCAAGTTACTGAAGCAGTGGCGCAAAAACGATCCGCAATTCGCTCATCCGGTTCACCACTCCACTGTCCGACCGGATCGTATGACCTGCGGAATCCGATTGTTACGCCAGGATCCGATTGAGACTGTGTTCTCTTTCATGACTTCTGCTAATAACAATGTAGCACGTATTACACAGCTGCTAATGCGCTTGTCTCAGACCTACGGACAACCGATCCGGTTGTCTGGTTCATCTGGCTTTCAACACTGGAAGTTTCCTTCTCTGTCCACTTTGGCTGGTCGGGGTATGGAAGAGAAGTTACGTGTGATGGGATTCGGTTATCGGTCCAAATTCATACCGTGAGTCCACGAAACTTCGTTTATCTTTCGTATAACTTTTTTATTGCAAAAGTAAACAGCGTTACGACAGTTAGCAGCCGTTCTGCTTTTTTGGCTATACCGATCTGCGGAGATTGATAACAAGCATGGCAGTTAAAGAGTCCAATGAGACACGGTTTCATTTCCAGGAACACTCCTTGCCCCATGTCAAATTCAACCAGCGTTCATCGACGGCGACTCCTTCAACTACAGGTTCTAATACACTATCCCAGCCGAGTATAAAGGGGAATTTTTCAAAGGATCCGATCTTCCGGATCGGACCGGATTGTGTGTTGTCATCTATCTCGGAGAATTGGGTGTGTGTGGGGGGGGGGTTGGAGTCAATTAATACAGACCAAACAAAGCCAAGTCCCGCAGAGTCAACTTGCCTTGGATCATCCATTATCTCCCCTAGATAGGTCACTCCAGCAGATGAACACAAGGAGAAGCAGTGTACTGCTCAAAACCTACAAGCACAAGTTGCCGGTGGTTTTTCTTTTGACGGTGGGAGTCGTCTTCGTGCTTGGCTGGATAGCTGCCACCCACCCAAAATGAGCCAGTAAGATGCTGTTTCATCACCTGGATGGGGCTAAGAGCCAATATGGAAAGAGTGACGCATAACTGGCAAGCAACTCGACGCTCGATTACCATACACGAATTAAATACTAGCCCCCCGCCCCACACACGGGTGCTTCGGTAATCTCGCTTCGCCCTGTCGTCCTATGGTTTAGACTTGAGACGAATGTCGAAAAAAGGATCATGAGTAATAAGTGAGAAAAAATGGCCCCGGTAATCTTTGTAACCTTCTATGCTATAGTTCTGGGGTTGAGTGCAATTTCTTCCTACTGTTTTTCTGAATGTACTTCTAATCACTTCGACTGTTGTCTTGCCCCCAGAGCAGCAGCTCGATGGATTCAGTCACACGGTGGTGAAAACCGGTTACTGGGGCTGCGCAAAGCTTCCACTGACGAGGCACGTGAATTTCTACTGAACATTCCGGGAATCGGGAACAAGGTAAGCGGCATCCGGGGTTTGTCATAGTACACGGTTTCTTAACCGTTTGACATGTACACCTTATCGGCTGAACGTTGGAGTGTGATTTAGATATGTCACTTTGTAGTTCATCGTCGATTCCCATCATGCAAGCGTTTAGCACTATGCGCGCGTTTTGAAATGTCTTTCAATAGTTCGTTTATCTGTGTGCCTTAGACGGGAATACAGGCAGACAGTTAGCGAAAAAAATGGGTCCGGAGTTCAAATCCCGGGCAGGACGGTGGATAGGCACTACT